GGTTGATCCCGAATTTCCTGAGAAACCGAAACACTGATTTCCAAAGTGGTTGCACAAGATTGCATTCCCACCAGCAATGGATGAGGGTACCCCTTCCTCCACAGCCTCTCCAGCAAAGGCTATCATCGGTGCTTTTGATTTTAGCCATTCTGACAGGTGTGAGATGATATCCCAAAGTTGTTTTGATTTGCATTTCCCTGATTGCTAATGAGGTTGAGCATGACCTTAGGTGTCTTTTGGCCTAAATAACCCTTTATTATATTCAATTCTGAGCTAGTGTGGGGCTTTTTTTTTAAAGCATCCTTCTTCACTGTTTTTTGATTGTCTGCATTTAAAAAATTCAAAATCAATACAATGCTATGCAGAATCAAATCTTCCTGTCTATTTTCCATTTCTATGTAAACTATTTTTCTAATTTTGTTCCTGTTTTTAAAGACTTTATCATATTATTTTTAAGCTACTTATGCCTTTCTATAACTTTTGATGTCCTTTTTAATTTTTCTTAAGCCTATACACACTGTAAACAAGTTAGAACCTGGTTAGGAGGTTTTCTGTTTGGTCCTCTTTTTTATTTTGTATCTTTCAGTGTGTTTTGTTGTATAGGTTAATGCTAATTCCTACACATAGTGTATGACTGATTATCCTCCTATATTGAAGCCTGTGTGAGACTAGGGAAACTGATCACAAAGCTTAGCTCATGGCAACTGGTGGCCGGCTCCATCTAGCAGGCAGACTTAAGGGGACAAATCTTTTTCTGTACTGCTGCTGGCATGAGACTGTGAGACTAGAATGTCCAATGTGCCTCCAGTTCTGTGCATTCAGAACCTTTTTTAAGATTTCTTGGGTTTTATTTGGAAGTAAGTGCACCATGTTTAAGTGCCAAATGTAGATGGAGGATATTTTCTGTTCGACCCATTTGTGCAGCTACTTCCAAATAATCACTCAGAGGTTTATATTAATTATAAATGTTTGTCCAATAGCTCAGACTTATTATTAGTTAGCTCTTACATTTAAATTAACCCTTATTTTTGTCTTTATTTTGCCACTTGGTTTGTACTTTATTACCTTATTTTGTAACATGTCCTACATTTTTGGTGGCAGGTTGTTGTCCCCTAGATTCTGCCCTTCTTCTCCTGTATCTGTGCTTGGATTTACAGCCTGGCTCTATCCTGCTTAGTGACAGGCCAAAGTAGATTTATTTATCAACCAATGAGAGTAACACATGTTCGCACCATACGAAAAGACATCCCATAGCAATTTTACAAGAAAATAAAGGGATCTGGGTTTGAAATGCTTGTTCTGCTATGACGTGTGATGCCCTCCATGATGTGGAAAGAAGGTCTTCACTGAGCAGATCCTGGTGCTGTGTGTTCTCTGGTCTCTCCTGTCTACTGTCTACTCTACATCTCTACTATCACAGGCAGTAGATCATGGAGGCTTTGTGTGAAACTCATATTCACCTGGAATGTGATTGAAGAGGTAAGATAAAATCCCAGCTTTTTAGGCTTTTGGTCTTGGGTTCTTCCCACTGAAGTAAGAGTTCTAAGAACCAAAATCTGCACTGCCCATGTCACTTTCTCCTGTTTCTGAATTTTTTTTTTTTTTACTGAAAAGAACATTGGGGAAGAAAACTAGGTTCATGAATGGATGCATATGTGTATATACGAGTGTGTATATTGTGTGTGTGTGAGAGAGAGAGAGAGAGAGAGAGAGAGAGACAGAGACAGAGAGACAGAGAGAATCACAGGAGTCAGAATCACAAGGTTAAGTGCTTCAGCCTACTTGTAACTCTTCTGTAAATCCACAGTTGAATCAAGGATAAAGACAGAGGGGCCCTCTGGATATCATCTCACTTGACTGACTGTTTTTTGGAAAACTGCTGAACTGAGGAGGGATTGGAATGTTTGGATTGATCTTTTCTAGGAAATCTCCAACTGCAGAGTTTGCCCCTCTCACATAGCACTCTGCTCTCTCATGCATCGCTCTGTCCTTGCTGTTCTGTAAATTCCAGGTAGATGTCTTGTCCTTCCTAAATTCTGAGTTCAGTCCTCTCGCTCATGGAGAATGATTGACCAGATTTGAATATTCCCTCCATGATCTGAATTATGAAAACTATGTCCAATTTATACTGAGTGTCTTGTACTTTAACTTGTAAATAATATTTTCCCTGGTAGTGTTTTTTCTTAGTCATTTAAAGCACCAAACAAATCTTTCTTCTACTTACTTTGGTCCACATATCATTTTGGGAAGCATTATTGTGTTATTTTTGATAAACTCATTGTAATTAAAATAAATAATTATACACATATGGATAGCTACGACTCTCTATATTATATCACTGAGCACACTGAAGATTTGTCATCACAGAAGATTTCTCCTCTATAGCTATTCATTTTTTTTCCGCTTTTGGCCATCTTACTGATGGAGGTGGGTCTTGTATCTTATCTGTTGCTTTCATTGGTTAACTAATAAAGAAACCTGCTTGGCCCTGATAAGACAGAAAATTAGGTAGGTGGAGTAAACAGAACAGAATGCTGGGAGAAAGAAGTCGAGTCAGGCAGTCTCCATGATTCTCCCACCCGACACAGCCACAGGTTAAGATCTTCCCTGGTAAGCCACCTCATGGGCTACACAGATTATTAGAAATGGGTTAGATCAATATGTAAGAGCTAGCCAATAAGAGGCTGGAATACAGTTTCTGTGTAATTATTTCGGGCATTAGCTAGCCATGCGGGAGCCGGGGCGGCTGGAATGCAGCCCCGACGATCTTATTAAAACATTTTACTTTTGAATAACCATTTGTGGTTAATACATAATATTACTTTTACTTTTTACCTTCTGGGTTTCATATTAATGGGATTATAAATTATATTTTTTATTGTGTTGTTTTAAGCATACGAAATTATGTAAAGATTTATTCATAATGTTTATGAGTAACTAATTGTATTATTTAGTCATATTTTATTGTGCAGTAGTCACAGTTGTTTAGTTTTTTTATTCATAGAGTCGAGGTTACTTACTGTTTTGTCTGATTAAAAGTAGCATGTTCTAAATGTTTTATACACACATTCACATCCACACATCCACACACATTCACACATAGATACACATTTCTGTCAAAAATTTATTTTCTCTGCATTGGTCACTGGAATGTGATGTGGAATATTCTCCTGAATATATGTTACTTTATTGGTTAATGAATATAGCTGTTTCTGACCAGTGATTTGGCAGAGTAAAGCTTGGAAGAAAATCTGCACAGAGATAGAAAAAGTAGGAGATGCCATGTAGCTGCCATAGAAGAAAGACAGCATCTATCTCTGAAGGAGAAAAACACCAGAACATTTCCTGGTAAGCCACAGCCTCATGGTGATACACAGAATAATAGAAATGTGTTCATTTAAGATGTAAGAGCTAGCTAGGAATATGTCTAAACTATTAACCAAGTAGTCATATAATTAATATACTTTCTGTGTGATTATTTGGATTTGGGTGGCTGGGAAGGAAGGAACAGTCTCTGCTTACAGGAATGCTTTTCAGTGTGTTCTGGGCACACTTACTCCTCCATGCTCTCTCTCCCCTTATCTATTTCCCTTATTCTTACAAGTATCTCTCCCATGTTCATGTCTTTGTGGTTATGTGTGTATGTATTCTGTGTCTATATGTGTGTGTGTTTGTGTGTGTATGTGTGTGTGTTTGAGAGAGAGAGAGGAGGGAGAGTTCTATGTGTATGGCATGTATGTGTTAGTGTGTATATATATCAGTGTGACCATACATACACATGTAAGCATGTTGAAGCCAGAGGTTAACACTAGGTGTCATTAGGTATTCTCCTTACTACATCTTACCCTACTTTTTGTGACAGGGTTTTTTTTTTCTGAACCTGGAGCCTCCCAATTAATCCAGACGTGGAGGACAGAAAGGCCCCAGGTCCACCTATCTTTACCTTCCTATTGATGGGATTATAGGTGCCTGACTTTTTTTTTTTTGGTGACTATTGGTGTCTGTACTTAGGGTGACAAGTGCTTCATTCACCTAACCATCTCTCAGTCCTGATGTCTGATGTTTGAAGCCAGGAGAAGAAGGGTGTCTCAGCTACAAAAGAGGGAAAAGAGAGAATCTGCATCTTTGTTATAATTTTTTTTTTTACTTCAAGGACTGAACAGATGTGACAGTACTCAGATATTTTGGGTGAGGGTACAATATCCATACACTTTTTATTGATATAAAGGCTACTTCTATCTGGTTGCAGTCTCACACATGGTCAGAAATAAGACCTTCCCACCTATCTAGTATCCCTTAATATAGCAAAGTTGACATTGAAATTAATCATCACATTAATACATGTGAAAGTACGGGAAAGTAGATGGACTGAAGATTTGCTGTGAAGAACAGTGCAGCCCCCTTTCTCACATTATTTCTCTTTTTTTGTCTTTTCATCTGTGTGACTGTGAAACCAGCGTGAGTATATGAGAATGCAATGCTTACATTCAGGTGTAGGTAAAGATGTAGACATAGGACACAATGCTGCAAAGCAGAACTCCAGGCAGTATTCCTCTGCATGCTTTGAAATCCTGAAGCAGATTCCCTCTGCTTGAAAATGCACTGGGAAACTTCATTACAGCTGTTACGTTTTCAACTAGGATGTGAGGATGACCACGTGGGACAATGCACTCCTTCCTCTTGGGTGGATTTACAAGTGGCAGAACTTGAAGCTGTCTTGTGCTTGCACTTGGGGAGATGGTGTAATGCTTCCATTTTGCTTTATGATGCTCATTCAGAACAGTGGGTTCAATCTTAATTGTTTTGTCTTCAGGTAAAGTCCCGAACTTAGGCCATGAGCACATTTTCATGAATATGTGACTAGTGAGAGGCCTTGAGGAAAAATTTTAGGTGTTTTCCTGGGAAATTAGTTCATGATTGCCATTATTGGAGATTTTAGAACTGAAACCTGGCTTAATGAGTAACAGATATGGCAATAGGATCCAAGTAGAGAAATGACAGAGGAGGCAGAGTCCTATAAGTTAGTGAATGGGCTTGTAAAATGTTCATGGTAAATGCTGTCATTGACAGGATTTCTTCAATCACAGTTTAGAGAGTTGTGTTGGAGCAGTAAAGAAGAGATTGGGGTTAAAGTACAAGTTAAATATTAACTCATCTTCTATTCACCTATCAACTCTGATTAAGGAGGGTGAAACAGAGTGTCCTAGAAAGTGAGCTGCAGAGAAAAGTTAAAGAGCAAGAGGGCATTTGGAAGACCTAAAAAAGATCTCCTCTTTTTTTTTTTTTTTTTTTTTTTCTTTCAGTAGATCATGGATTTTAAAAGATTAAGCTCTGCCCTTACCTGACTCAGTGTGTTTCTCCCAAGTTAGACCAGTTTCTGGGTAAAACTCTTTCAACTTCATTCATAAGGCTATGGTTCAAAAGAGGACCAAAGGTTAATATTGGGGCAAAAAGCAAATTCAGTTTCTTTCTTCAATCTAAAGAGCTACAGTTTTCATTAAAATCTGGGGTTCTTTTCCTGAATAAATATTAAAAACACAGCATTGATTTTCAGGGTCTAGCTTCTTTTTATGGTGTGTTAAATGTTCTTCTAAGTATGAGCCCTGCAAACCCAATCAAGTATCATTACCACAAGGACTATGAATGAATCTACCACATAAACAAGTTATTAATTTTTTTTTTCATCTAAGGGGTCATTTAGTCACATTTTGGATTTTTGCTGGTTTTTAGTGGACATTTATTTTAGTGTAGAGATATTCTAGAAAACTGAGAAAAAAGTGAAATTTATTTTTAACTATCTATATAAAATCTACAAAATAAAAAGAAGCAGAAGGAAGTAGAATAAGAGAGAAGAGAGGAAGAGGAAAAGAATGGTCGGACTAGAAGGGGGCAAAGGAAGGTCTGATAAGGGAGGAAGGGAGGATAATGGAAAGGAGGAGGGCAAGGAGGATGATGAGAAGAGGGGCTGATTGCTGTCTTTGACATGTGACCAGGATCAGTTCCA